AATGCTATGTGGGTTCCCATTTTCCAGGGTGGGGATGCTGAGGCCCAGAGAGGTCATGAAAATCAGCTGAAGTCACACAGCTGGGAGGTGGTGAAGCTAAAATTGACCCCAGGCTGTCTATACCCTGCCTTTTCAACAGGCATCCCATTCACTCATTTGTTCATTTGTGGGGATGGGGCTCTAGAGTGTGAGGTGGAGTCTCTCTTATCTAATCTGGTCTTCAGTGGAGAGGAGGCCCCCAAATTCCCCAGGTACCTGAGGGGAAGCCACTGTCCATCCAGGAAGCCACTGTCCGTCCTCAAAGGAGGCACAATAGATTATGAGATTAAAAATTGGAAGATTGGGTGGGTCTCAACAGCTCACGCCTATAATCCTAGTACTTAAGGAGGCCAAGTCAGGAGGACTGCATCAGCCCAGGAGTTTGAGACCAGCCTGGGCAACGTAGCAAGACTCCGTCTCTACAAAAAATGAAAAAAAAAAAATTAGCCAGGTGTGGTGGTATGTGTCTATGGTCCCAGCTACTCGGGAGGCTGAGGTGGGAGGATCACTTGAGCCCATGAGGTTGAGGCTGCAGTGAGCCATGATTGTACCACTGCACTCTAGCTTGGGCAACAAAGCAAGACCCTGTCAAAAAAAAAAATGCTGGATGTGGTGGCTCACGCTTGTAATCCCAGCACTCTGGGAGGCTGAGGCGGGTGGATCACCTGGGTCAGGAGTTCAAGACCATCCTGGCCAACATAGTGAAACCCTGTCTCTACTAAAAGCATAATAATTAGCCAGGCATGGTGGCATAGGCCTGTAATCCCAGCTACTCAGGAGTCTAAGGCAGGAGAATCGCTTGAACCCGGGAGGTGGAGGTTACAGTGAGCCGAGATCATGTCACTGTACTCCAGCCTGGGCAACAAGAGCAAAGCTCGGTCTCAAAAAAAAAAAAAAGTTGGAGGATGGAGGGGCAGGGCACACTCACCATAGCAAGTCTTAGACCTCAGGTGAGGATCCTGGGTAGTGCCCTTTGGAGTCTTCTACAACATACTCAATCTTTGATTTTTTTTTTTTTTTTTTTTTTTGAGATGGAGTCTCACTCCTGTTGCCCAGACTAGAGTGCAATGGTGCAATCTCTGCTCCCTGCAACCTCCGCCTCCCAATTTCAAGTGATTCTCCTGCCTCAGCCTCCCAAGTAGCTGGGATTACAGGTTCCCGCCACCATGCCCGGCCAATTTTTTCTATTTTTAGTAGAGAGGGAGTTTCACTATGTTGCCCAGGTTGGTCTCGAACTCCTGACGTCATGATCTGCCCCCTCCTCGGCCTTCCAAAGTGCTGGAATTACAGGTGTGAGCTACTGCACCGACCAATCTTTCATTTTTTTAATACTCATTGAGAAACTCAGCATCTGTAGACATGAAGTTGCTCAGGGTAAGAGAATGCAGGAATCATAGGCTTGGTACCTTGTGGATGCTTGGAATCATTTCTTTTTTTTTTTTTTGAGACGGAGTCTGGCTCTGTGGCCCAGGCTGGAGTGCAGTGGCCGGATCTCAGCTCACTGCAAGCTCCGCCTCCCGGGTTTACGCCATTCTCCTGCCTCAGCCTCCCGAGTAGCTGGGACTACAGGCGCCCGCCACCTCGCCCGGCTAGTTTTTTGTATTTTTTTAGTAGAGACGAGGTTTCACCGGGTTAGCCAGGATGGGTCTCGATCTCCTGACCTCGTGATCCGCCCGTCTCAGCCTCCTAAAGTGCTGGGATTACAGGCTTGAGCCACTGCGCCCGGCCTGAAATCATTTCTTTAACTAGAATGTATTGAGCATCTCTTAAAGAATCAGGTGTTGTTCCTGAAGCTGGGGTGAAAAACAAAGATGGCAGATGAAATCTGTGACATTCCAGGTGGGAAGGAGAAACTAGGCAGGTGTGGGTGTGTTATGGGCTGTGGAAAAACAGACCTGGGGGGCCTCAAAATCTGGGATTCTATGGAGGGTGACCTAGTCAGGGAGGGGATATTTGAGCAAAGACCCAGAGGCAGGGGTGGGGTCAGGGGAGCTTTGTGGTGTCTGGGGGAAGACCAAGTGATCCAGGTGTGATGGGCAGGGACAGAGCCCTGTGGGGAGCTGGGGAGGCTGCAGCAAGTGACCCGAGGGGAACGGCCCAGGTTGTGTGGGATCTCTTAGGTCATGGTGAAGCCTCTGCCTCTTGTCTCAAGGAAGTGGGGGCCTGTGGAGTGTGTGAGTGGAGTGGGATGTATCTGACCTGTGGACCCCTTGGGTTGCTGTGTAAGGGACAGGGAGCATGTGGGGACCTGTCCGGAGGTCACTGCAGTAATTCATGGAGAGGGTGGTGGGAAGTGGCTGACGCTGGACAGACACACTTGGAAGTGGAGCCTGTGGATTTGAGGATGGGTTGGGTGTGATGCTGGTGTAGGGAGTCCCCGAGGACCCCAGATCCTTTGTCTGTACCTGGAAGGATAGGGTGACCCTAATGGAGACAGGCAGGGCTCTCAGGAAGCAGGTCTGCGTGGACACTCAGGAGCTCGGTTTTGGGCACGTTTAAGTTTGAGATGCTTTCTTCGAGCAGGCAGGTAGATACTTGCGTCTGGCGATTTGAGGAGCAGTCCAGGCCAGCAGGTCAATTTGGCAGTTGTCAGTGCTTAAATGGAGGCTGAAGCTCAGATGTCAGGCAGACCACCAGGAGAGAGAGCAAAGACAGAGGGCAGAGCACGAGCTAGGATGGCAGGCGGGGGAGACACGGGTGGAGCCAGGCGCTGGGATGCAGGGGTGGCTCTCAGGGAGAGTGATGAGCCTAGTAAAGCTGAGAGGGGGCACTGGGTCTGGCAGTGTGGGGGTCGCCGGAGAGCTTGGCAAGTGTAGTGGCATGAGAGCCTGATTGGAGTGAGGTCAGGAGAAGATTTTTTTCTGATATTGATACATGATATTTTCTATACTTATGGGTACATGTGAGTGCTTGTTACATGCATAGTGTATGATGATCAAGGCAGGGTATTTGGGGTCTCCGTCACCTTGAGTATTTTTCATTCCTGTTTGTTAGCACCATAGTCTTCTCTTCCAGTTACTTTGAAATATACAAAATACTGTTGCTAAGCATTGTCACCCTGCTCTGCTGTCAAACATTAGAACTGCTGTCTTGACTGGGCCTGCGGTGCGGTGGCTCATGCCTGTCATCCCAACACCTTGGAAAGCTGAGGTGGGTGGATCACCTGAGGTCAGGAGTTTGAAACCAGCCTTGCCAACATGGCGAAACCCCATCTCTACTAAAAATACAAAAATTAGCCCGGCGTGCTGGCATGTGCCTGTAATCCCAGCTACTTGGGAGGCTGAGGCAGGAGAGTTACTTGAACCCAGGAGGCGGAGGTTGCAGTGAGCTGAGATCATGCCATTGAACTCCAGTCTGGGACACACAGCAAGACTGTCTCAAAAAAAAAAAAGTAAAAAGAAAAAAAAAAGTAGTTCTGTCTAACTGCAAGGGGGAAGGAATCATGTGCTGGGTGTCAGACCTTCCGGGATGTATGTGCAGCTTCTAAGAATTGAAACCACTGGCTCTTGGAAACTTGTGCCAGGCTTCAGGGTGGGAGAGGCAGTTCTAGAGCCACAGCCACCAAGCCTGGGAGTAGCCAAATGGCCCCTGTCATCTCTGGCGAGAGCAGGAAAATACCTGGGCGCAGAGGCCACGGTTGTATCTCTCTGGGCAAAGGGTCAGTGTCTATAGTGTACATATGGTCAGTGAGGCTCGGGGGGAAGCAGGCCCAGGGGTCTGTTTCCAGTAACCTCCTCGAAAGTCAGAACTGGAAGGCAAAACCCCTTATAGGCTGGGTGCACCTGTAGTCCCAGTATGTCGGGAGGCTGAGGTGGGAGGATCACTTGAGGCCAGGAGTTTGAGACCAGTCTTGGCAACATAGCAAGACCCCTGTCTCTACAAAAAAATAAACAATAAAAAATTAGGCTTGGTGTGGTGGCTCACGCCTGTAATCACAGAACTTTGAGAGGCTGAGCGAGGTGGATCACCTGATGTTAGGAATTCAGGACCAGCCTGACGAACCTGGTGAAACCTGTCTCTACTAAAATTACAAAAATTAGCAAGGCGTGGTGGTGCATGCCTGTAATCCCAGCTACTTGGGAGGCTGAGGCAGGGGAATTATTTGAACTCGAGAGGCGGAGGTTGGAGTGAGCCAAGATTGTGCCATTGCACTCCAGCCTGGGCAACAAGAGTGAAACTCTATCTCCAAAAAAAAAAAAAAGCCACATGTGGTGGGGTGTGTCTATAGTCTTAGGTACTTCTGAGGCTGAGGTGGGAGGATCGCTTGAGCCTGGAAAACCAAGGCTGCAGTGAGCCGTGACTGCACCACTCCACTCCAGCTGGGGCAACAGAGACAGACCCTGTCTCACAACAAACAAAAAACCCTTATAGTTGGATGGGAAAACTGAGGCTGGGAGAGGGGACAGGACGGAGATTAAGGCTCAGGTCTTGCCTCTGGAGCAGTTGAAAAGAGGAAGGGAGCCCTTTCTTGGGGCTGGCTGATTCTTGAGGGTGGCCTGTGCTTGACCTGGGTCAGGGAAGGACCTGCTCTTGCTTTGGCACATTCTGGTGGATCCCATGAGTGTTACAGGATAAGGGCTTGTGGTCAGCGAGATAGGAGGGGTCTGGCCTGGCACAGGATTTTAGACACGCAGGCACCTGCACAGACATCTCATCCTGGGACAGCGAAACCCAGTTGCATGCTACTGCTTCCCCTCCTGTGCCCTCCTCAGACATCCCTGGTCCATGTACACTCCTGCCTGCCGAGCCCAGATATGACCTTAAACATCCCCTTCTGCTGGGTGTGGTGGTTCACTCCTGGAATCTCAGCTGCTTGGGAGGTTGAGGTGGGAGAATTACTTGAGTCCAGGAGTTTGAGACCAGGCTGGGAAAGATGGCAAGACCCCATCTCAAAAAAGAAAAAAAAAATATCTTTCGTCCTAAGCCTCATTGACCCATCTGTAAAATGAGTCAGGGAATGTGCCTGGGATGCTGCCTGTGAGAGATTCTGATGTCCCCTACTCAGGGCCACTAACTGTAGCTCTCTCTCCCCAGGGGGACTGTCAGTGGCGGTGCCCGGGGAGATCCGAGGCTATGAGCTGGCGCACCAGCGGCATGGGCGGCTGCCCTGGGCTCGCCTCTTCCAGCCCAGCATCCAGCTGGCCCGCCAGGGCTTCCCCGTGGGCAAGGGCTTGGGGGCAGCCCTGGAAAACAAGCGGACCGTCATCGAGCAGCAGCCTGTCTTGTGGTATGTCTGTGGGTGCGGCCTCCTGACACAGGCAGTGCAGGCACAGCCCAAGGACCCTGCAGGCCCCTAGCAGCAGTGGAGCGGCCCTCTGCCTTCAGGACCCCGCACTGATAATGGGCTGAGGAGATACAGACCCTTCCCACCACGTGTGGGGACACATTCTGAGGTGGGGTCCCAGTGGCCACTGTGGCTGGCCGTGTGTCCTGAGTGGCAAGGGACACTAGGAGGCTCCCG